GGCCGCCGGTAAATTAACCTGATACACCACTTAACCTTTTGTTTATGGCTCCTCAGAAGGACTGTGAAAACAGAATAATGAGGACATCAGCGGCAATTAATTAAGTTAGAAAATACCTACTATAAATACCGTCTCAGCAGATAAACCAGGACTAGTAAAGCAAAGTATGTCGCAATACATTCACTTCGATATCTTCATACAAAGGGAAATCTTTTATACTACAAGAATACCATTTTACATGCAAATAAAGCATTACTCTATTTTTTACCCCTACTTATAATGTTTTAAATTGTTTATTTACACTAATCTTGAATATATATATAGCAGTATTTTTAAAGAAGTACCCAGTTATAAATATTAAATTGAGCCTGAAGTCTAACCATTCCCAAATATAGCTACTTCCAGTACCAGACAGACAAATTAAACTCGTAGTTATTCAAAGAAGAAAAAAAAAGGCCAGGGCTTCTGTGAATATATTTGTATATACCCGTGCGAGACAAGTATTTAGGTAATATTAACTGCATATAAACTGTTTGAAATGGACCCGCAGTTTTAATTCATCAGTGATTATGATTTATACTTGAAACACTAAATGCTGATGTGACACTTATAATACACTTTGTGTATTATTTATAAGAAAGCTCAGAAATTTTGGAAGTTGCGGAGTGACAAAGGTAACGTTACAAATCCAGTGTTTTCTAACAATGAAAAAAGCCAAACCATTGGAAAGTGTATATCAAATATCATTTCTAAGCAATACATATGTAGAACCTCAAGGTCCTCGGTGTTAATGCTACTTTAATGGTTATCAAGCTTGAACAGGGAAGTGCTGAGATGGCTAAGCAAATATGTGTGTGCAGCCAGAGAGCATAGCTTCATGAAAAAACTTGCATGAACTTGTGAAATGTATTGTCCCTTAATGGTTTAATTTTGAGTTACATTTACTGTCTCGCAGCAGTACACTCACTGAGAATTCATTTGAGACTGTCCTCCTAGGCTTTAAAAAGAAATTGCTCTGGCTAACCAAGCAAGGAGGTAAAACCCATAGGAATAGTGTACTGGAGTCTATGGGACCTTTGCTGCTATACACAGGGCAGTAAGATCTGCACTTTGGTTTCTAGACTTTCAACACCCAAAATATTTTTTTTTCAGCCAGTATGTACTATGTAGAATCTTAAAAATGAAATATCCATTGCTGTTGTAGTCAGTGTCCACATGCTGACTCCTTTAGGATAGTCTCTAATGTAATTTGAGTTCTCCTTTACTATCCACAGAAACACAACGTTTTATACAAATCCACAAAGTAGCATTTCATTAGGATGCAAATGGGAATTGGAAAAGTATATTAAAACCATCTGCTTGCCAGTACGCAAGACACTGGTTGGAAGTTTTTCTAGCTCATGTATAGTCTTTTCGCTTTTCACTCCTCACCATTTGCCCTTTCCATTTACACAGCCAGCAACCATTTCAGTCTGTTATTTTCTCTGGAAGGTATTTCCAGGGTTAATGACCCAGAGAGCCTTCGACTCCACCCTGCCCGTAATTAATCCCGAGGAAACATCCGGTGCTTAGAATAATTATCGCTTAAACACTAGCAAAATAGATCAATAATGGTAAACAATACCAGGCAAGTCAGAATCAAGAAGTCCTGAAATAGTCGGGGTTAATCATCATGCCATGTATCAGTTTAAATTTGCAGCCTGTCACAGCACTGCAAGCTTTTGCAGCCTTTCTCACTCTTCTTACAGGATGCATAAAGAATTTCCACCTACTGTGATCTTTAAGCTGCATAATGCCATAAGATCCTGCATGGTAAAAGAACCCCTTCCTTTATAACATTTCAATATTAATGTGAAATCATATCACATGAAAATTTAATTTGGAAATTTATCATGTAAACTTTGAAAGGAATCCATGGAAAATTGTGACTTATAGCCTATTTTTTCAATTCAGAACAGATAAAATCCCACATATAGTACGCCAAGTCATGCATTATTACTTAGTTCAGCTTTGCAATGCCACTAAATCATTTACTGCTCTGTAACTACGCTAGAACAAAGACAAGCAACAAGCAGATGACGTGTTACACTGGAATAAATCACATACAACCATCTTTAAATATTTTACCAAACACGGTCAAATTATATATAAATGATTTGGAGACTTACAGTGGCATAGACTGCTCATTGCTGGAAACCAGCATATATATTTAAACTACAGATTACTTCCAGTTTGCAAGAAATGTCAAATTTAATCAGTAGTGGAATAGCAAGGGAGAAATGGGAAAAAAGTATGTTTAAGGGAAAGTTGCAAATGAAAAGCCCTCAATGACATGTAAATTCCAAAAACCTCTTAAAGCAAATAGTGACTTTCCTGTGATTTTTCAAAGCTGCATCTCCTAAAACACAGCGAAATTAAATTTTTGCTTACTGAAATGTGGCAATAGGAGTTTTTTCAAACCCAGACTAGGATCCTTACCTGCTTGTGTGCATGTGTGTGGGTGGGTGTGTATTTCTTGTATTCTTTTCTGCAGCATGATCCTATTACTGGTATGACAATAAACTGCCTCTGGAAAAAGTCCAGCTGGGGAGCTCCCTGTGGATCCTCACCATTGTCAATCACTTGTCCCACTGAAATAAAAGTTACACCAATGTAAAACTAGCACATGACCATATCCAGTTCTCCCAACTCCAGTTATTCTTACACATATATTTAAAAAGGCTCCAGACATTTACAGGAGATCAAGAAGTTTTGTATTCATCAGATGACTGAGAAAGGAGCGTGTTATTGCTTTAGTTTCAGATGTTGTAGGAGAAAACAAGCTATAACCATAGGAAAAAAACAAGAAATATAGGTTGCCAGATGTTTAAAGTGGCAACTCATGCACGGTGAATAAAATGTTGAGGATATGCTATAAGCTCACAATGCAAGAAAAGCCACCTGAGTTTTCTTAACCACTCATTGTGTATTTTATGTAGGTTCGAGCTAGTGCGATTGCTCAGGATGCTGATCAGAACTACGACTATGCCAGTAACAGCGTGGTGCTTCACTTGGAGCCAGGAGACGAAGTTTACATTAAATTAGATGGAGGAAAAGCACATGGAGGAAACAACAACAAATACAGCACATTTTCTGGATTTATTATTTATGCTGACTGATAATGAGTAAAAAGACCCACCAAACCAGTCCAAAAATGAAGCCTGCTCTTCTAAGTGATGGATTTGCGTGGCAAAAGTCAATGAAACAAGTACCCCAGCAGAGAGCGACCACCAAACACCTCAGTAGCGGGGGAAAAAAGTCAAATGCTACCTGATTCACATCTGTACAACACAGAGAAATCTTATGTTAAAAAAATGACAAAACAAGCTCAACAGGTGTGCGATCCACTACCGCCAAAGCAAATACTTCCTCATTGTTAGTGTCCATGTGAATGAAGTTCTACATAGATCAGATTTTTATAGGAAAAAAGCCCACCTAAGGACGCTGAGTTATTTCTTCAGTGTATATGATACTTTGATGTGTTATGATCTTGCTGCTTTATCCATACTTCAGCTTTGGTTCTTGTGACTTACTTGCTAACAATGATGCTTGGAGTCCACTGATAGTGTGGTGAGGAATGATTTTACAATAAAAGGAAGAGGTAATCAAAATATACTTTCTCTCTGCAAAGAAATTGTTTGCCTTGTACTTTTCTTACCCTTCCACTTAAAACTAGAAACTAATCATCTTCAAGCCTTAACTCAATGTTCCTGCTTTGTAGGTTTACATTAGACTTTTAACATAAAATCAGTCCAGTGGAGTTGTTTAAATTTTGTCTTTCCCTTAGCTGTGTTCTAAAAGAAAAAGGAGAATAGAAGAAACATTTTATTTTCCCCTGAAAAATGTAATAGTTGACAAACTATTCTGTTGGATCAAATCCCTGATTCCACCAAAGCCAATGGCAAAACTCCCATTGCTATTAGTGGAAAAGGGATTTGGCTTTTTTGATTTGTATACGTGTAAATATATATTTAGACAATTATTACAGGCCCATTCTTGATGGTTAGTTGTGTAAATATTTAGAAAGCCTATCATCCACATCATCACACTAAGGTAGAGTGTTTTCTTTGCAGCAATTAGTTTTCATTAGTCTTTTAGCACTTAGTCTGTACTTGGGTACTATTTTTAATAAAGTAGTTATGGATTAATATACTGCAGATGTTCCACTTGAATTTTGTAGGAATATAATGGTTCAAAACCTTAATTGTCTTAGGTGTCTTGTCTCACTGAAGTTAATGGGATTCTTCCCACAAAGGAGGAGTGGGAGATCTGACACATAAGAAAATGCTGTCACATAGACCTTTTCCATGGAAGCTAGTTACCAGTTTGTAGTAAGGTGTGCCTATGAGATGGACACAGTTGAGCATATTACCAAAAATGATTAACACATATGCAAAGAAAGAAGCAAATATTTACATGCAAAAAAAAAAGTGTGTATTAAAACATATTTTTCTCATTCATATATGTATAGATATAGATATATAAAATCTAAAAGAGGTTTAATCCATATAGAGGATTAATGGCTTGGAGAATTAAACTAAACACAGATACTATGAGTTACATAGTTATAAAAATGCTTTAGAATCAGTCATACCAGTAATGTCCACAGAATATTTTTATTCAGAAAATGGATTTATTATTTGTTTTGGTTTTGGGAGGCTGTCTGTTTCTCTCAGGTTAAAACTCGCAGATTTCATTCTAAACCTAAATTTTAGCAAGATTAGTAAATAGTTCTTTAGCACAGTTGGTTATGTTATTTATTTTTAACATTTCGGCAAAATCAAGGCAACATTTCTATAAATCATTAAAGTATAATAGAGGCTCCCCCTGCCATTGCTATTTCATGTACTTTGCCACAAGCAACCTTGTCTAATGTACTAAGGGTACAAACTCAGATTTATCCGCGCTAAAATGTCTGAAGTGTCTGCCACTGTGACAAAAAAGCTCTCCAGTGCTGGCTGCTCAGCAAAAGTCTGATAAAGATTGTACACATCTCTCTAAAAATCTCATCTGAATAAGTGACGCTTCTCTTAAACAGAGCACGTTACTCTTTGTTTCTGTTTTGAGTCGTCCAATTCAAAACAAACGCCGAGCGAGTCTCGGCTGCCGGAGAGGATCACCAGGCAAACTCTTGTAGGGTTTATAAGGGGACACAGTGCTGCCAGCTGCTTGTGTATTATCCCACCAGAATGGTTAACGCTCTTACTTTATGACAAAGTGCCAATCTGTATCTGTGCATTGTAGTGATTACTCCTGTTTTATTTCCATGAGGCAATTACTTTAATAACAAATGTGTAACTGAACTTGGTCTGTTCGCTCCACTGTTGTTTTACTGGTCAGTGCACTCACACAGCAGTGTAGCCAGAGATCCTCTATGTAGTGCCACACACCGATGCACCAAGCTAGAGATCATTCACAACCAGCAGTGCGTATTTACTAAGGTGTTTATTGGGAAGGCTCAATACTACAAGATGTATATGGTCAAAATTTGAAGAAGCTTTTGAAATCAGGCTCCCACTGCTACTGGATAACACCATTTTTTGAATAGATCACATGCCCTGGTTAAAGTTAGACAAGAGCAAAGAACACGCTTTATGTAAAAATCACATATAAGGCAAACATTTCTTCCTTTTTCATCATATCTTGATATACTGATTTGTAAAGACTTATATCACAACCTTTGTTATAACTATTAGAACTCATTAAAACTGTATTATGTAATATATTTTGACTTCTGGTGTTGCATCTTTACAAAAAGAAGCTGGTCTGTGTCAAGTTTTACATGATCACTGTGAGATTCCAAAAGTCCATGATAAAAAAAATGTGATTAAAAAAAGACATCTGTAATAATACTGCACATAGTTTAAGAGATCATCAAATTGCTTTATTCAAAAATATATTTTTCCATGTATTTTTTACACTTTCAGTTAAAATTAAGTAAATTGTTAAATTATAAAAAAAATTACCTTTTTAGATTTATTTGAGATTTCTTTTGCCTTGTGTTGTCTACAGAAGCTCTTTAAAAGTTACAGACCTTTCATCAGCATTACTCAAAGAATACAAGGATAATGAGAAGATTGTCAGTATTACAAAGATTAAAATCAGCCCCCAGAGACAGGAAATTTAACTGAAAACCATAATTTCTTTCAAAGTCCAGGTGGTGCATCTTCAAAAGTAGTTTGGGGTAACATTCAATAATAGTATTAGATTACGCTCTTGAAACAATTATTTTAAAATTTCTATGGAAAAGATTTTGGGGTAGGCTCATATTCAGTAAATCACTCATGAACAAATTTCCAGAAGGGAGAAGATGCAGAGACAGTACTCAATTTTGATGTTCTAATTAAAAAGAAAATTTATAATCAGTTTGTTTGCATCTCCTTAATAATTTTCAGTTTCTCTGAAAAGAACCAAGTTTTAAAATGACTGCTCTCTGGAAAGAAATTTGAATTTTATCAAGCTTCTCTACAGAATAGGAATAATTATTCATTATTCCTACTTAAAAGTCAACCACCGCTTTGGATTTGCTAGGAGTATTTTATCAATTTTATCTTGGGATATGCCCCTAATTAGCATTTTAGGAACTATATTTTCAAAGATATGTGAATATCCATGACCTCCATATTTCATCAACCTGTTCTTGGTGTGCACATCATGAGCCATCAGAATTCTGTCTTCATAGCCTTCATCAATCAGTGTACGAATCCTGAAAAATTAAAAGCACACCTGTCAGTGAAAGTTCTCACTCTGCAACAGCACAGAAGCAACCAGGATTTACATTTCTTATATTACTGTACTGCTGGACTGTATTATAGCAGAAAATAGTTATTTTAGGTGCTCAGAAAACATACTCCTTATATTTACTTGAAATTAAAACACATTTTTTATTACATGAAAAAACCCCACCTCTGAAAACATACCACCACACATCTCAAAATGGAGAAGGAAAACTCTTTCCATTTGGCACATGGCTTTGCATTCCCAGTCCCATGAAGTTCACAGAGGAATTCAAGAGCTTCAGCATCACCATGCATGGGACACAGGTTTTATATACATGAGTAAGTAATAATTTCCTACCTAAACTCTTTCTCAGCAGGTTACTTCTTGCTGCCGTCACAAAGCCGATCCAATTACATTTGCTAATGACCAGACTGTGTGTGACAGGTCCTTTAAGAAACCTGGCTCAATTGCACAAATACTTCCACATCTTCAGTTAAATCCCATTTAGCAAACCAGGTTAATAAAAATATGAAGTTGCCACCATCATGTTCCATATAGACAGTTATCATCCAAACACATTTCAAAGATATTCATTAAGGAAGAACAGAAATAAGACTGGCATGGCACAGTGCTAGCATGTGCCAGGAAATAAGAGGAGAGAATATGGCAACCCAGCTGAACAGGTTTGGCAAAATGACAAGCCAGCTTGGAAAAAGAAGTAATCTGTCTGGTCACTCTCTTGTATCAGGACTTCTATAAGTCCTTCTGTTTCATGTTTCACTCAGGTAGCCTTAATCCTTGATCAGCTAATTTTTTAGAATTTATTAGGTGAGTCTGAACACCTGTATTACACAACTGTTAAGCTTCCCAGTAAGCTTCAGTGTAGTTTGGCAGTAGATTCCTGCATTGAAGCGGTAGAGACAGACAGACCAGACCTGGAAAGTGCTTGTTCCTCCAATTCAGTCATTTGCCAGCACTGTGAAATTCTGATTCTTACCTTCCTGACTGTGCTTTGATCAACAAGAAAACAGATACCAGTTTTATAAGTAACTACGCTGTATCTGAAAGCCCTTACTGTCAGTTTTTATTGCAATTAGTTATGAGGAGATACATGTAGCAGGATCTAATCAATATGGGCAGCAGGAAGAAAGCACATAGGATAGATTTTGGTAAAATATTATCATCTTTCAGAAAAAACCACCATAACTAGCGCCATAGAGTGCACAACACTATGTATACCATAGCATTACAACATCACAAGTATCTGCTCCAGCCTGAAATACAGAGAGACTATAGAATAGTATTATAGAATATGATGAGTTGGAAGGGACCCATCAGGATCATTGAGTCCAACTCCTGACCCTTTGCAGGACACCCCAAGAATCACACCATGTGCCTGAGAGCTAAATGCTTCTTGAACTTAGACAGGCTTGGTGCTGTGACCACTTCCCTGGGCAGCCTGTTCCAATTCTCAACAGAGAGTAAGAGCAATGGCACTGGGGGAACTAAGTTGTTTGCTGACCAAACATCATTCAGAATCATCTTCTTTCATATTTGGACTAATTTCATGGGTTGAGGAGGCATATGATCCTTTCCATTTCGTATTCAAGGCTCCTTAGTTTAGTTAGTACTTTCTTCTGACTCAAATTAAAACTGTCCCTGAACAAAAATCAGTATTTTACTTGCATTAGCAGTAGATTGCAGTCAAACTGCTGAAGTACACAGATGGCTAAACTGTGTTCAGTAGGTACATTATGACTACATAAGTTTATGTTTTGAATGGAAAAGACCTTAAGATATATTTTCCCTTATGTATTTTCATATAGAGGTCAATTTGATTTCTACCTCTCTGGAGCTGTTTCACAAAACAAAACCCTAAGGATATTGCCACTGCCATCTCAAGTCCATCGTGGGTGCACCAATATCCATTTAGGGGCACTTCTAACTCGAATGCACATTTTCACACCATACAATGAGAAGACAAACTTTTCGTCACTTCTTCCTGTGAACAGCCTGCAGCAAGAAATACTCAAATGCCAGAGAGTTTAAGGAGAGACATCAGTGGCTGAGCAAGTATTATGGATGGAATGAAAACTCTGCCACGGTTGAACAAGCACTTGTTAACCAAGGCATAGTCCAGTTCTCTATATGTATTCTGCAGTGCTTCCATAGAAGCTGAACTTCCATGGCACAGGAGAGGGGAGGAGGCACAGGAGAGGGAGCAACTTTATCCATTCTAAATGTGAAACCTGCAGATTCATTGCAACAGTTTAAAATACTGAGTGCCAGACTGAGAGCACTGTTAAGAGAGAGAAACTATTCCTAGTGTGAAAAGCAGCAGCAAATGCTTGGCAGTGAGTGGAAGAGTAACCACGGCACCTTCTTAGGAGGGAACAGTTTGAAAACAAATTAGTTTCAAGGTTAATCTGACAATGAGGGGGAGAGAAGCCTTGTCTGAAATGTAAGTGGAAGCTAGAATTTACTTCATTAGTGATCAGAGATCATAAAATCTTTCTCATCAAGGAGAACATAAGAACAATTTTTGACTCAGGAAGGTAAAAAGACACAGGCAGGATGGCACCTCGACCCTCAGAAACCTGCCACTTCACTGCTCACAAACACTGTGGACAAACAGCACAGAAGGATCACACCTCCAGACAGAGTGGAAAGAGTGAGGTGCCCATTCCCAGCTGATCCTACCTTCTCTCAGACAGTTTCTGCACAGAATGCATCTCCTTGGCAATACCTTGTGTTAGCACAGCACAACAGATTTGCTGTGCAGCTGAGCTGAGACTACAAGTGCTGATGAGAAGCAGGGAAGAGGTATCCTGCCAGTGGGGCCAATATTTTCACATTGTGAGTGAGTGTGAGGAGCATGAGAGCTCTGAGGAGACAGGACTTGCATCCTTCAAAGGAGAGAAAGGGCAAAAGGAAAGGGGGTGGAAAGGTGATAAAGTGCTTGGAAAAAAAAAGGCAGTTTTTCAGGAGAGAAGCACAGGATCAAATCCACCCAAAATAACCAGCAAATTTTGCTGGGTTAGCACACTACTGAGGAGATATAACAGGCTCAGATGACGCTTAGTAGCAGCACTAGGTTTCCAATGCTATGTTTCAAACAAAAGCCAAACCCTAACATAAATCCAGTATCACCACCCTTTTTTTTTAAACAGACTGCATAAATGCGGTAAATTATAAAATTCAACCAGATCAGCATGGAATTAGGACAGAGAATGAAGTTAAAAAAGCTTTTGATGTTCTTCTCAAGTAACTTTGTACAACACTACGATTCTGCATCTTCCTCTGCAGACAGAAGAAATGATACATGCTGCTCTAAGGGTGTGACTGCAGCAGGGGGAAATGGCATTATTCTAGTATGAAAGAAGACAATTTTGAACAGCAAGCAGAATCACTCTGTGATGGTCCTAAGTACCAATAATATGCTTTTGTCAATGGCCATACTATAGCTTAAACTGCATGGGAGCAGATACCTTGCAATTCTTTCATTGTCGCTCGGCATGTCAATATCAGGATGGAACTGGTAGTGAAGAAATTCTGTACCAAATAGGTCATATTCTAAATAGCATCCAAGTTTAGCAAATTCCAGAAGTTTCTTTGTATCAAATATGGTCCTGCAGAACATATATAACACAGAGTCAGCACTGTAAAACAGGAATAAAATATCTCATGGCATGAGGACAGTAATTTTGTGACCTCCTACTTGCAAGGAAAAAAACCAATAATCTAAGATTTAATTCATCTTTTGCAAAACAGGACTCCTACTTGACACATGCAACTTAAGCTGATACACAGCATTGTCCTTCTCATATTCATTTGGGATTTCATGCATTTAAAAAAAACAACAAAAAAAGCCCAACTCTTTCCCCATGAAATAATGAAAACATCTATGATAATCTTTAAATGGAAAGAGGAAAGTTACTTACTTTTGATATCATTAACCCTCTCAACAGACAACCTAACCAGGAAGGACATTAAAGGAGGAGGTTAATTCATAGTGACATTTAGAAAAAAAAAAAAAGACAATGGATTACTTACACAAGGCAGATTTACTTTCCCAAAAGACTTACAGAAGACAGCTCCATCCAGGGCTTGTTTCATCCATCACACACCGGTAATACACAACTTTGTCTTTAGTTTCTATTCTGTACAGTGATGTTTCTAGATTGCCATTAGAACAGCAATATATCATTGTTTGCACTGGGATCTGGCCAGAACGCCTTAAGGAAATGCTCTCACCAAAATATATAATGGCACTGTGAGTGCCTGGGACATGGGCTTTACAGCAGATTTGAAAAGTGAAGGAACAAAGCTTCTAACACATATCACTCATTTGGAAAAGAACAGCAACAGAAATAAGAGTTCTCTGGAATATTCTGGGTTGTCTTTGAACAATTTTTACCAAGTGTATAAGCTGTCCAAAGGAAACCAAAAACACTCAAATGATACAATTTAATCTTTATAGCCACAACACAATTTTTTCATCTAATTAAAAACCAAGTTTCCACAAGAACATCACAGTTAACCAAAAGGGCAGTAGTTAAATTTTTTTTTTATTACTGCAGATATTGATGTCACAAAGTAGTTTTGCCCTATACAATTACATCACAGTCTGTTGCTATGGAAATGACTGATGTCACACTTTCAATATTATGACTTAACAACAGGACTGAAAGTAGGAGGAACAGATGGGTTGAGAGAGACAAAACCCTTGTTCAAACAAGCCTGCCATCAGCAGGAGTCTAAGACTTGCCAACTGTAATTAATAAAAAATGTTATTTTAAAATAAATATTACAGTTTACAGAGACTGAACATTTATTACCAAATGATTTTTTCAACTGCAGAGCAAGAGAACAGGTTATTTTAGATCCAGCCCTGCTTGGTTCATGGGGAGACAGTTGCCAAGAGTATTCAGTCCTGGTGCACATAGCAAAAACACCCAACAATATATTTCAAAATCACAGCCCAACAATTTCTTTTTAAGACTATTGTCCTAATGAAGAGCTGGAGAGCTTAGTTTCAAGAGCTATTGGGTCCCATTGTGAGCTATGGGGATGTAGCAACAGCAGCAGTACCCAGCTCAGATTGTGGATCTCTGTGCTGGAATTGGATGTTTGGGCAACACTGTGCCTGAGCTGCCCTGAGCTCATGGAAAAGGACACAGTGATTCTGTAGTTTGGGCCTCATCTGTAAATCCCCATGGGGACAGCCACCAAACCATTATGAAGCCCATATTCAGAGCAGTTGCTGTGAGCCTTCTAACAAAAGCTAAAAGTGAATGAATGTTGATCCCTACCAAGATACCTTTTTAACCTTAACCCCTAATGAATGGCCAAAGCCAAGGCTCAATAGCTTTTGCTTCCCAGCCTTTAACTGCACCATATGGACACGTATTCCATTATGGACACTTGCTACCTTTTGTTCTAAGATGCTAAATTGCAAAACATGGTAGCCAGTATTTTAGCTTTACCATTTCATTGTAAATCCACTTGCAAACTACCATTCTGCCTATGTCAAATGCAGACAAGAAATGTGGAGCTATGTACAAATTTATCTCACATTTAAAGGACTGGGATGCTCCCACATGGATTTTTCTCACTGGAGGAGACTTAAAATGTTAAATGCACATTGGAAAGCCAAACTTCACAGTAGTTTATGTTATAGCAAGTGCCAACCTGAATGTGTGAAAGTAATGATAGAAAGAGATATAAGGAAATGTCATATTGTGCATCAGTGGCTGTAAGTGAAACTGCACCACTGTCTTGACTATTTTCCTGCTTATATTGCTTAACTTCCACCAACAAATTACTTAATTCTTAAAATACTTAATTCAACAATTTACTACAATGTATAAAGGCAAAAAACCCATAACTGTATGTTTATGTTTTATCAAAATGGTTGTGTAAGTACTGATATCTGCAGCTTTCTCAGTTGTCTTTCATTAGAAGATTTAAGTGATCAGTTTTTCTTTAAAAAGGGGAGGAAAATACAGCCATAGATACGATGGAATGCAGGCAAATACATAAAGGAAGTCTGTATCATTTATAAGTAAAACAAGGAGCTTTGCCTACAAAACACCTGTACCTCAATTTGCTACCTCTTAGAGCCTACAACTATCAGAAATTTGGAGCACAGTGTTGTTGCCTATACTGCACTCACACTGAGGGCAAACAATCCAATTGCTGAGAATCATATGACCACAAACAGTCTCCATTATTCAGCAACTGGCCAAATTAATCAATGCTTGGACATATTCCAGCTCACCGTGAGCAACACAAGGTCATACAAAACTGATTTGGTAATAGAGGCTGTATTTCTAAGCTGGAGACAAAAAAGTATCCCAGTTTCTCTCCATGCCTGATGTGGAGCTCCTGGGTTTTGTTCTTGAGAAAGCTGTAAGTTAGCTACCCAGACTACACCATGAACTATTCAAAACCCAACTATTCTCTTTTTAAGCAATATGTCTTCTGTTTGGTAGCAGAACATTAAAAATCTGCCTTCTGCTTTGACCCAGAATCCAGCAAAATCAAGTTTTCCATTAACTTTTGTGAGATTTTGGTAAGGCCCTTAAGAGTGATCCAGTTTTCAAAAACGCTAGAAGCCCAGCAACTTCCCACCCGATTTGGTGAGAGCTGCTCAATGTCCAATGCTTTGTAAATACAGGGATTTGTTCAGGGATACAAATTAATGGAATTCTGATTTTTAAAATGTGGTTACACTTACTCCTAATCTCTCTCCCAGGCTTTCAAAGAGAGCATTTAAAATACCAAAGTCTAAAAGCTGATCCTGACTGAAGTGCTGGACACCAACCAAGCTCTATAAAAGCACTTATTTTTAAGACAGTAAACTTGAAGATAATACTTTATGTCAACTATATCCAGCATAGTTCCGTAAACCCCAGTGAGCTGTGGCAACACTGCTGGATGGACAGCAGAACAGTCTGCTTACCTGTCCAGGTGAGACATGACCGTCTTTGAAGCATCAGCCCCAGCTTCCTGCAGAATGCGGACAATCTGGAAAGGGGAGTCGCTGCTCCTGCCAGGATGGATGATAACAGGGCATCCAAGCTGTGACTGAGCCTGTGCTGTTGCCTGGAGCACACGGTGTTCACTCTGAGTCAAAGGCCAGGAGCAACCTATTTCTCCCACCACACCACACTTGATGTTAGTCCCATCCGCTCCTTTGAGCACCTCATCAACAATAATGTTTGTCAGCTAGAGAACGGGAAAATGAGATTTTTGGTTATTAATACTATTTGTGTTAAATAGCATCAAATTTGGCCTATGGACACTGTACTTGTTATACTCCCAAGGTCTTTCTGAACTTATTTAATTAACAGCTGGGTATGTGAAAACACTGTAGTTAAAATCTGGTTTCTGTCAACTAATGTTATGCCAGCCATTCACTAAGACCAAAATAAAGAGAGAAGTAAATTAATTTAACAGTATCCATTCGCACATTTGTCCAGGTTTGCCAAGAACACTGGTCTACACATAATTTGTACTGTGATTCAGCCTGAGATAAGTTTTCTTTAAAAAAAAAAGTTAGTTTATTCTCAAACCTGTGCCTTGCACTCGTGAATTGGCTCCAGACACAATTCAATGTAATTTCTTGCAAAACAAGGGCTCAGAGAATAAGGAAACCTTGTCATTCAGACAGGGAAGGGAAAAACTCTGGCAAAGATCCTGAAGAGACAAATTTAAGACAAATCCCGCTTATGGGAATGTGGATGTAAAACAAGAGGAGCTCTGCCGACTTCAGGACCACAAAAACAAAGCTTATCTGACAAATTTACAAGGTCAAAATTAGTTTGCTTTTAAAATATTCACAGGAAAAAAAAGACATCAGAATCTCTTAATAAAAGTAGTTTGTTATAAAATCTTATTCTTTTCCAGAATAGGCCACATATCTTAAGCATACATTCAGAACTGAGCAAAAAATGGTTCTGATGGTGACCCGCCTTCTGGACTGGATGAAGTGCTCAGTACAGGACATCTGTGGGTTTCCATCAATCCCCCAAATACAGAAGGGAAACCTTTGCCTCAAGAAAACTATTTGTATCAAATTTCAAGTGATGGAAGAACATTTAGGAAAAGCAGGACTGTTGCATACAGCTTGGGCCAGCTAGGGTCTAATTTTGTTGGCAGCACTGCTCAAGTTTTGACCATTGATTTTTAAAATGAATTTGACTCATTTGTGAACTGTAACAGATCTTTAAAATTTTTCTCAACTCCGTTCATTCACATTCACAGCCTCCTGCCTTGGAGATTTCTGTTCCCTCTTGTCTCCATCATCACATTTTCTTAATAAAAGATGAATGAATATTTATTATTATAGGAATATCCGGGGACCTCAGTTATTATTAACACATTGTCTTGGGCACGATACAAACAACCTGACGTAGACTCCCCTGAAAAGCCTGGACAAATGACAGAGAGGAGAGATATAACACACAGCCTGAGCAGACCAATGATTTACAACTGACCTATAAATATTGCAATTATTTATGCTTTTTACAAGAATGCTGGGTAAACTCACTGGGAAACAATTAGCCAGAAGAAAAGACAAAAGAGTTAGCAAGGATATACTCCTTCCTTAAAAATAGTAAAAAAAACCCAGATAATTGGTGTTGTACCAGATGTCCACACATGAAATACTTTATTTTCCTTTTACTGTTGCATTATAATAAATCCCTCTGAGAAAATGGAGCTTAAGAACTGGAAATGCTGACAGATAACCCCAAGCACATGCAAGTAGTGCTGCTCCAGCTATATTGTTGCCAAATACCTTAGAAATCATAGGAAATAAAAGAACCCTCTAATATTGTCTTGCCTCTAATAAGGCATTTCTTTATTTGCAGCGCTGGGTGTCTATGTGGCCAACAAAAATCCTGTCTCCGTACAGACACCAATACAGCACTTTTTCACCTATTTATACATTTTTAACAAAGAAATTAATGCCCATTGGCTCTAAATTACATAATTCCCTTTCATTAACTACAATTCTATACACTATTGGTTATAAATCTCTTGTTGCTTATACTAATTAGTTCACACTTTTAGTCTTTTTAGTATCTTCTTCCTTTGGTAGGGATTTTCCAACACAAATACTGAGCCTTTATTAGCCTTCTTAGTTATCGGCTGGTTTCTGCAAAAGGTCCTTGTTTCCAGATGTCCAGCTTCAACAATACATCTTTCTCTCATGGGCTTTGTTCATTGAAGGATATCAGGGTTAACTTTAAGAAAATTTAGTTTTAGTACTTTTTCCAAGCTATCTTCTCAAAAAAGTTGCTTATGACAACCTTTTGCTATATGCTGGCTAAAAATGATTTAAGGCCTAACACACAACCTATGATTAATTAAAACAACTAATTAAAAGGTTAATTAGGATCATTAAACAAATCAGGAAAGTTATATAATTTCCATATAATTTCCAACAATATCACACAAGCAGTAATGCTGTTCCCAAGCTTTTCACATTGAGAACCTCTGTATTTCATCTATTTTGCTGGAACTTCTGTCCAACTTTGGCTTACCCAGGGATAATTCACAGGAGAGGGACACTCAAGCAATGGTTAAGACTTACCTGCTCCACTGTCATGGCCTGTGTTTGAGAAGAATGCGTGGAATCTACATAAAACCCAGCACCAGCAATAATATGAACTCCAGTTTCTTCAGCAAGTTTCTTCAAAGTATTCATATCCCGACCAATTCCTGTAGTTGTGTTTTCCACAATAGTCCCACCACCTGCTGCTTTGAAATGCAACAGCTCCTCCTTCACAGCATCTGTTTCCTGATACAAAAGAAGGTTTTCTTTATGGCTGTAGGGATTTTGCTTAATCCAAAACAAGTTCTTCATCTCAATGGGCCCATCAGACAAAGGCTCTTGGCCTGGAGAAGGTGGACAAAAACAGCTGCTGTAGTTCATAGTCAAGTGTTCATGAGTCAGTGTATAGCCAAGGCAGTCTGGCTCCACAGGGCCCAAGACAGTCTGCACTTTCCCTCTCAAGGAAGGCATTTTTCTTCAACAAAAGGTTAAAAAAAAATCAGATCCTAAAAGAGTCTGAGAAGGAAAAAGAGAGGAAACAAAACCATTTCAGAAAACCTTTCTCAGGCAATTTCTGAATTCCCTCCTCTCTCACACACATAACTACACACTGTGTGTATTCACCGGGATGTTTTCAAACATTGTTCGCAGCAGAGTGGTCAGGATGAAAACCAAGGCATTGATTTTACCCAACTGCACTTGTGCTGGTACTCCAGCAACGTAAACACATCACATTCCAGTACAAGGAAATCATCATCATTTACTGTGCTGCAGTCAGTAACAACCACTGTATGTTCATTTAGGATTCATTGCTCCTCAGCAGCTGTCAATTCTTGTCAGCTTGAGCCACCAGATGAATACGCTTGGCACCAAGGCTGAATATTTCTTACTGGTATGTTCAGTTTATTTATCTCTGTCCTCCAAGACTCACTGTCTCCCTCAGATACCAAGGAAGCTGTTTGTGTTTGGGCACCTTGTCTGCTCCTCTGTATGCAGAATGCAGGGATGAGGGTGATCACCTGCTCCTTTGGCTTCAACAGGGCTCAGGTTCTCCTGCAGCTGCATTGTGGAGGTCTGGAACAGCCCAGGACAACTGCTCTAAGGCTGACAACAGTTGCTAAAGATGTAGTGTGGCCCCCAAAGAGTGGTGGAGAAGTCAAAGTGCTTCACTGGCCAAATATTTTACCATTTAAGTACAGACCTTAATCTAACACAACTTATATGGCTCAGCATCTCAGACACTTTTTTATTCATCTCTAACATGAAGGAAACAGCGATATTTCTCAAAACCTTAAATGAGCAGTGGCAAAGACAAACATTGAGGTTACTGTCTGCAGTTGGTTCATGTCAAAGGCCCCTGACTCAGTGTAGGTTGGAATTATCTGCAGCTCTCCCTATTGGGATTTTGGTTGGTTTTTTTTCCTTTTGGGAGCGGGAGTTCATGTTAGATCTTCCTGATGCTAGTCACAAAGGCTTGAGGATATATAGTTAAAATCCCTAGTCAACCAAAATCATCAGTTATGAAACAAAATACATGTTTAATCATGTCCAGAGGAAAGGACTAACTAGAGCATGCATTATTGATTAAAGAGAGAGGTCTTTCCCATTCCTGTCTCCCTTTTAGTGAATAATGTCATAAACATGGGTTAGTTACTGGTAAAGCCCTCAGAGGACATTTTCCTTTTAACTGCTAAAGTTAATCCACCAGGATGACAGAAAAACTGAAATCTGAAGGGCACTGAACTCTACATATCAAAGGGCACAGGAACATCAAGACCTCTTTGGAGGTACTTTGATCTCACGAGAAGCAGTCACTGTCAGAGCACCAACGCACAAGAGCGACCGAGCCCCTGGAAAAGGCAGCTATCGCCTGCCTAGTGAAGTCTGTAGTGCTGGCAGTTATTGTAATATGAAAACTTGGCCATCCATAAGAAAGAAACGACTGACTGACTATGTTTACTTGCCTTGTGTAAAAGCAGACTTACTTATGAAGAACTGTTCTTTTAGGAATTTTGTTCTTAAACTAGTGTGTTAACTTGGTTGAGAAGGCAGAAGAATAATTACTCTCATAGAACAGACTGCTAGCTGATTAATATCATGATTTATTTTTTTTGCCAAATAAGAAGTGCATGATTTCAGAAAATATTATTCTTAAGCAAACAATTAAAAGCAAAATACCTGTCTCAGTCAGAAACTGCTGCTCACTGCAATTCAATTAAGCTGTCCAACCCAGTCATTAATTCCATCCTTGAACAAGGCTGGTGTTCTACAGAGCAACCTACTATTCTGGAGAAAGTTCAATGATATGAGTCATTCTTACATGCACAGCAAAGTGAATGACAATTCTAAGCGTTACCTTTGGGTTTTTTGCCTTTTTTATTTTAAATGTTAAATATCTGCACTCTGGCACTCAGTAAACCCCTGACAGCATAAAGAGTGATAACTACGCTCTGCATCAGAGACACACTTTTCTTTCCCCATGTTCACTGAGAATTTTCCAGTCAATTTATTAAATTAGCAAAACAAACCCATATACAAATTTTTCATACAATGAAATATACAAGTATTTAACTTCTTTTGATAAAGTTTGCACAAATTGATTACAGTCTGTTTCCTTAACAATTTTCCACTTCAGTTACTTAGTTATTTAATAGTGCAGTTACTCAAAAAGGCCACTCTAATTGAATGTGAATTTTTGCTCACTTTCAGATTATACCTTTGATGAAAAGTAGACTTTCAGTATTTGTTCCCACTAATTCCTTTCTGACACAGTTAATTTAGACTACCCTCAATTAATCTGGTTTGCCCATTATGAAGACCTGTGGTTGCACATGTGAGATCATCTTATAGCCTGAGGCTGCTGTCTTCTGATTTATAACAGCAGGAAACATCTAAAATTACCAGTTCCAGTGCCAGGTTTCTCTTGTAGACACAAACCTGTTGATTTTTAGGCTCTAGATTTCACATTACAGCTCACATACAGAATTTACAGAACCTTTTGATTGAGATGAAGGATTTTATAAATATAAGAACCATCACAAAAATGGAAACTGACACAAACAGCATTTAAAGTAGGTCTAATTTTATCTGCATGAAAAATATGATTAATATTAATGCTTGTGCCTGCTTACTAACACGGTTTTAGAAAGCCACTGCTTTTAATAAAAGAATTATAAAAAATAAAGACAGTCAACAACCTGTGACTGGAATAATTTTTAAAACCACTGTCTTGATATCTTCCCTACTGTCATTTACACAGACAGCCTACCCTGATTATGCAATAATGATTCATTATTCCTAATAAGATTCTTTTAGTGGAATCAGAATTTGAGTGTTTTTAAAACAGATTTTAGGTGTAAATAGCTTTTAAAAGAAGTAAAGATTGCTGCTTAGTTTAAGTATGTATATGTTACTACGAAAATCAACTACCATATGCTTTACTAACGACTTGGATGCCACGTTTTCCACAGAACTTTCTTCTGAAAAAGTTTCTTCTTTCATACACCAAGGACTGAATTCATATCACCTCATTTAGCCATCTAAAATGATGTATGTCTTTTACAGAGCAATCATCTAGACCATTTTCATAGTGGAGATGGAAAGACATATTCACAGGCAACTCATGCAGGCTATTTTGAGTGTTTGTAATAGGACAGGACAAGTTACTTTTTGTTATATTATCCTCTTTCCATGGACTAAGGAGGGAGCCAAGAAACAATCCTGGACAAGTATATTCTAGATGGTCCTACACAGGACATGTGAATTATGTTTCCCCAATCTTAACCCAGTCTGATGTGAGAGGGAAAGGTGCTGATTTCTGACAGAAGATAAGCAGGTATTATATATTTCCATATATGGAAATAATAGCTATTTTGGTTTTGAAAATCACTAATTTATGTGGTGGTATTACCAAGGTGCTCCTGCACAGACCAAGGCTTCTGTCCTCCAGATGCTCTATAAAGAGAGAAATAAATATTTCCTGAAAATTACATATTCAGACAAAAACAAAATGAGAACTGCCTTAAGATATAACCAAAACTTGTATTTTTTCACAACAGCCTTGAAACAATACCTTAACAGTTTTGTGATAAACTCTGGACAAATCTTTACAACCACCATATTTTATGTATGGTACATAAAATACAACTCTCACCATCAATTATTAAATATTGCTGAAGTAAATATTTTTCCTAGAGGTATTGTTAAAAGACACTTGCTGCTAAAAAGGTCATGGTACTGCATTCCTGAGTCTGGTAAAAACTCCACTGAGTTCAATAGATGTTTTGCCTGAATGCTGATGACAAGATTTGTGTTTCCGTTTTTCCCATCTGAAGTCTGTGCTTCAGTCATTGTGTCATTTTAATGGTCTTGTAATGGGAAGTCTCCTTGGGTTTGGATTAGTTGCTTCCTACAGTAATCTCATATTGCCGAAACATTATAATCACATAAACACAGCTTCCACATGCTAATGCTGCATTTGTTTTGATTCGGTAAGCACATTTTAATGGCATTAGCACAGATTCTCTGTAGACTGGTATGGGAATCATTTTATTGCCGTTACATTACAATGTGAGATCACAGCAACACTAAATCCAGACTGCTGTGACATAAAATTTACAAAAAAGCAAAAAGAATGGCTCGAGAGGTATTTACTGTATCCAGAAAAAGTTAAATATGGCTGCCATTCAGAAACAAGGGCTGTCCTGGCTGCATCAAGAGCATTTTAAGCAGGTCGTTCCTTTTTAACCATGCAGTGCTGGGAAATGTGACATAGTGCAGGTTCACTATATATTTACAGATGGAGGAAATGTTCTAAACATTCAATTCTACTTTGAGCAACCCCTACAGAGCATGGAAAAGCCACAAATTAGAAATATATGACACATCTGCAGGTAATTACCATTAGCTAGTCTGTGCTGGGTTATCTCACCGTTCCCCAAATGTAAACATTTTGCGACAAGGGAAAAAGTCAGCAAGATAAAGGAAGAGGAGAGGCAGAGCATAAGAGAACACAGGTAGACTATGTCAGGAAGAATTAAAAAAAATTAACTTCTCTCTTCTCCCTTGTTTCTGCCAACCCTGTAGAGGTTTACAGGGTGAAAGGAACTCAATACTGCCAGCACAGTTCTTCCTCTTCCTCAGCAGACAAGCAAGTTTTCTAACTTCTCCAACAGATGGGTGTCAGATCTGCTTCACCTTCTTCAAAACTGTATTCACAAGTGCTAATTACAGGACAACATGCCTGAAACATTCTCTCATACACAGGTTTCAGATAAGCATGGCTTTTTTGTTCATGCACAGCGTCAGGGAAGTGCAGCTACAGGGGCTGTGGAGCAGAGCTCACCACAGCTGGCTGGGTGAGAGCAGCAGTATGACTGGACTTGCATCTGCTCCAGCACAGACACAGGCTCACCTGCCATTTAGTCCAGCAATTACCTCTGTGTCAGTCCCTGCAAAGGTGTCCAACAGTCTGTGACGCTGCACTCCTGCACAGGCGCCCTTACACCACTACTAGTTTGTCTCTATGTTACATGAGACAACAGCTTATTTTATGTTGCTTTTGGGTTATTTTGCCCAAGAAACAGAATTTGAAAATGGGGTAAAAGTACTGACAAAATGCAAATTGCTGGGCAAACTTCTGTCTCTTCCGCAGAAACGGCAGATATACTGCTCTGAAGGTGACAGATTATTCTCATTAAAGTCTTAAATGTTCTTCCTCATCTTCAGAATTGCCATTGGTCAGGAGAGACATTGGTCTTTTTCCTCTCCCAAAATGGAACTATGAGATTATCATGATTTCCTGAACTTCAAGCTAACTCAGAAAAATGAGCCAAGGAAAATAATCTTACCTATTCAGAAGTAGTGGTTTTTTGTTGTTTTTTTTTAACTACCTTCATACCTGTTAATTAAAAAAAAAGTATCATGACAGCTTTTCATAGTATGGCCCCTTGCCTAGTGCAGAAGTGTACTAAGGGGACAAGGGCACACAAGTATGAACACAGGCATCAACACTGAGGCAAGGCTTTGTGTCCTAAGGAACGATGTCACATGGGAGAACTTTCATGCCTTGAATAAAGCTCTTATCAGAGAGGAAGGGAACACTTACAGTGCCTCTCCTACACAGAGTCCTGTCTAACCCCAAAGGAGCATATATTGCAGCTCTTCCCTTAGTGGGGCACCTGTGCTTTCCCACCTTTGGGAGGCTGTATCTTTGTGCAGTGAGTAAGAACTTCACCATTTCAGATATGTGTAATCTCTCAGCCAGGTAGAAATTGGCCAAGAGATTCAAAGCCTAGAGACCTCCTATTTAAATATTTTAAAAGCACCATCTATCCTTACCTTGCCACATTTTTTCACAAAACACACTCAGAGTAGTGGGTTAATGCTGTAGCCCTCAACAACCTACCTCTGGTCCCCAAACCATTCAGAAGCATATATTTCCTTAAGAAGCCAAGCTAAAAGAAACACTAAATATTGTTTTTCACTAGACTTTCTATATATGCATTGAGCAACCAAAAAATCTTTACACTACGGAAGTGAGAAGGAATACTAAAAGTAAGACTATATAAAAAGTTACTGTATGTGCTATGAAAAAAAATTAGGAGAGCTTTAGCCCAAGCCTTATATAATCCTACAGTGATAAAAGGAAGTCCCAGCAAAATATGCAGGTACACACACCACACCATTTACACTGCTTGAGTTACATTATATGTTTTACAGCCTAAAAGCAGTCACTTAAACTTTAAGAGAAATTTAAACACTAGTACACCTATGGGAAAGGCCAATATATTGATCCCCTGCCCGCAGAACCTCCAGAAAGCACACTCTGGGATGAGAAGCTGGGTAAGTGAGAAGCAAAGCTTTTAAATGCTCCCCTGAAAGGTACGTGAAAATTCTTACTGTGTATTCCCTTCGTGGCTCAGTTAGTGGCAGACAGACAGACCTTCCAGCTTCACCCGGTCTGAGGGTCACATATAAAAACCAGATTGCTTCCTTACATTTGAACTGCCACACCAGAACAAGTGCAGCCCCTCATACTGACCTCACAGTACAGAGGCCAAACCTTTGGATCAAAGCAAGCACATGTGCTCAGCATATGACCATGTATGCCAATAGTGATTTGCTCCAAGAAGCAGAATCTAAGCCACTTTGTACTATGAGCAATTTTTCAATTTGGTTAAAGTTTAGCTGTTGTGACTAGAACAGTCAGACTTCTATTTTACCTTATTTCTGTGCAGATAACAGTCTCAAAATCTAGGCTTCTCTGAGTAAAGTCACATTGAAGTTTCTCTTCCTCAGAGAGACCAGCATACCCGTAAGTGTTTTTTCATTAACATCTCCTTTAGAAGAACTTCAGGGGATTTTACATTTTGGGCAGCTTCCAAAATTACTCTCAATAAAAGGTCAGATAAAAATTCTCCTCCAGGGTCAAACATTACATTAATTATATTTTACATGCACACATAGTGTTTTTAGGCCAAAAATCAGAACTGAAGTCACATTATGCTATATGCAAATATGGGCTATGTCCTGCATGTTGATACATACATTTGTATTCTTAAGACTAAATGGAATCATAGTTGCTTCTCGTGGGTTCTGGGCTACAAGCACATATGCTCTTTCTTGCTAGGACAACAGGAAGTAGGAAAAAGCCTGTGCTTTTCAGAAATGGATATCCAGTCTTCATTCCCTCTAAATTTCAAATTTGAAACCAGTATACATCAAACACCACTCTTGCTGTTATTCTCATTGACTTTCATTAGTTTCGTCTCTACTTAAGGTCACATACACAGATTTTCATGTGAGCTTAATCATTTCAGAAAGCATGTTGGGTGGAGCATTATCATTCAGTTGTACAGCCCTATCACCAAGAGCCACATAAAATCACTCTATGATCTTTACATGCAGAAATAAGGAGAAAAGGGATGGAGGTTTAAGACACCAAAGAACAGGTATCACCCTTCTCACCACACAAATCTCTAAGCAATGGATGACTGATGTGCATTACTACCTCCTGATCAAGACTGGACATTACTAGCTAGCAAATTCATATGAATGAACCTCAAGGTTAGCTTTGCAACAGAACATACCAGTCACTGATCTACTGAGACCTGTGAAGGTGGAAAAGAGCATGGGGATTGAGTTCAGTGTTTCATTCAATATTGCAGATTGCAGCAACTGAGATAAGCAGAGACTTTCAGAAAACCACCTTCTTTACTAGTGAGTGACAAGCTTAGGTGTGCAGAACTAAATTCAATGTCCCACTACTGCAAACAACTACATCACAAAACTTGCAACCAATCTGAAGACCTACTGGAAAAAAAAACATCCTCAGAAAAGCCTCAGAGTTTCTACTGCTATTGTTCTTTATGGCTGCGTAAGGAAATGGAACCCAAACGCCCTTCTCAAGGTCCGCTTCTGCTCCAACAAGAAACTAGCCCACAAAAGAAAAGTTAGTGTAAGTCAAGGGAAAATGTAAAGGTGATGTGTGTAACTTAATGAGTATCTTTTAACTTAGAGACTGCCTTTACAGAGTCTGCATGCTTTGTCAGTGGTCAAAGTCAACAACCTGTTGCTTGCACAACTCCTGTTGTTTTTAAGTTCTTACCCCCAACGGGGTACAGCAGTGGAATAGCAGGAGCAACCAACACACACAATTAAAAAATCCTTGCTACCCAGTCTAAAGTGAATAACCAAGAACAAAGTCCTGCAATAAACTTTACAAACCACCAGAGTTTAAGTATTAAAACCAGTCGAACATTTCCAGACCCATCTGAAAACGACCCATCAGCCAGAAGGTACACAAATCACAGCAAGGAAAAGAGTCAAATTCCTTTCATTGGGTGAATAATCCTCACTGCAGTGACACTGGACAAGGCAAAGACAACTGTAGGATAAAACAATTCTCCTTTTACACTTTGAGGTAAGATGCTGAAAGAGCAGAAAAAGGGAGAGTAGTTCAGCAGTACAATTCTTCTTTGGTCCCCCCTCCTCCACAGAAATTAGTTCAGGAAAAACCCTGTGGCTTTGGCTCAACAAAACTAGGGCTTCAGAGTGTCTTAGAGACCTGTAGAATCACTCTTCTCAGACATCCAAGTTAAAAATTGTGATTTACTTGAAGCTGTCATATGAGGGATGATGGTGGTGGCCTTTCTTCTTGCTTCCATCTTATCCAAGTAGTTAAATACTTGTAAAAAATATCCCAGCTGTTGCTAGGATAAAATGCTTTTCTTGGATTATTATCCATGTATATATTACTATCAGACCAAAGACATGGCCACTCCTTAGAAAATTCTGAGGAAGCTTTCTAATTTGTGACCAGAAAATGACATTAAAGAAGAAAACCTACCCTACCAGTTTTGAGAAGATGTAACTTAGAACTAGGGAGATGGGACACTCCCTTCTCTTTCCAATATAGCTAGCAATCCAGTTATCCAGAAATACAGAAAATGTAAAAATGTTCAAAACTGCTCTGAATCAAACTAGGGACTTGAACCTTAGGTTTCCACAGATTTCTATTCTCCCCCTACCAGACAGGTGGCCAGTCTGATGAAAGTAGAAGTCTCACTGTTTTCATGAACCTTAAGAAGTCTTCGTTTCAGCTTGTTCAGTATTTCAAGTTTTGAAAGGTGGGAAAAACATTTTAGATCTACATCAAGTGAAATAAGGAACAAAATTCACAGAATGTTCAGAGAAATAGTCCTTTAATAAACACAGAACTCACTGGTGCCATATGCTTCACTATATACTGATTTTTATGTGTGAGAAACAAGCTGATGGCTCCCTAACCACAGAGGGAAGCACTGACACTTGTTCCTGCTCCACCATGCATTAATTTAATAAGTTAGAACTGGTCACCTACATAAAATATAATTAAGCATCTGAATGCCATTATTGCCATCTTTGATTACAACCACAAAAATGAATGTGACGATGGTGACATAATGGCAAATATTATGTCTGTTAAATTCCAAACCATGAGAGGCATTCCTAATAATAAATGACATTTATGTACTCTTTCATAAAACAATCCCAAAGTACCTGACAAAAATGATACAAAACTACCTATTAGAAGCATCACTTCACCCATCACTGAAACAGCCTCCAGCAGAAAGAAGGCAACAACCTTTCAACACTACAGAACATATGACAACAGAGAACATTGAATAATGTATTTAACACAAAGCAGAAGGGAATTCCAAACAAGTAAAACAAAATTTCCCAAATGCAAGTGATCTCTAGCTAAAAATTTGTTTCGTTCAACAGCTATGACAAGCCTCTAGCATACAGAAGATACCATCCCTAACAACAGACACCTAAAAAGAATAATTATTTTTACAAGTATCTCAGAGATCACATATACATTCAAATACTTGCTAGGTTCGTCTGAGTTCCTCACAAATAGGACTTGTATGCTTCAACTTGAGGTCAAATTCATCACAATACAAACCTGCTGCAGAGGGGTTGCCAAACACACAAGGTGACTGCCCAGCAGTGGCTTGGCTACAGCACTGAAGCGGACTTGGCAGGGGGACCTAAACCTCCCTCGTTCAGAACTTGCGCTCCCCTCCGCGCTCACCAAACCCATGCAAGAGGAGGAGAGAGCAGAGTCTGCCACAGCTGCGTCTTGTAAAGGGCAGCGCGCCCCAGGCCACGGAGAACATGCACAGTGTGCGAATCCCAACAAGGCTCAGAGGCAAGTCTGGCGCTTTGCCGTTGAGCCTTGTCAAGCTTAAGCAACTCTGGAAGCATCTTGCTCAGGGATACGGGTGCTTCCAGATGGAGAGTGAGCTGCAGGCAAGCTCTGAAGGTCCCAGTTTTGGATTGAGGCATTTGTTCCTTCCCAGAGCCACCCTCGGGGACTGTCGGGAGGGAAATACTAGAGGGGACGTAGTTCCAATATTTAACTTGTTATGACAGTACAAATATTAAAAATCAGCGGTAAAAATAGCAGCGTAGCTGCACTCACACAGTTAAGCCGCCTGAGCTCGAAGGTTACTCTGATGGTAACTATCATCTGGTCCTGTGAAACGATTTTCCAGAGAGAAGGAGGTGTTCATCCCCTGACACTGTCCCGGCCACGCTCTGCCCCTCGTCCCGGCGCCGCCCCCTCCGCCGGGGCTGGGCGGCCCGCCAGCCCTGACCCGCACCGAGGCGGCGGCCCGAGCCGGCACCCGCTCCCTAGCGACTGCCCAGCCCCGCGGCACCCGCCAGCCCCTTTCCCGCTCTCCGCCCCGGCTTCCTGGGCCGGTAGCGGCAGGGCTAGACAGCCGCTCTCGCCCCTCAACTCCGGCGAAGTTTCCCAGCGCCCGGGCGCGCTTGTCGGGACGCCAAGGCGCGCCCGGAGGTGGCATCTGGGCCCGCGGGAGGTCACGAGAAGCCCGCCGCCTCACCCCACAGGAAGAGCCTACCAACAGGCAAGGAGCCTACGCGGCCGCACCGCACCCCGGCAGGGCCCCGGCTGCCGGAGAGCGCTGACCGCCCACGAAGCGGGGGCGTGACTTTCCCGCGGCACGGAGCGAGTGGTTGGAGCAGGCCGGGAAGGGATGGCAGGGAGTTGCAGAGGCCGGGGAGCGCCGGCGGGGCGGTGCAGAGCGAGGCAGGGGGAGACGGCAGCGTGCCCCACGCCGGGCACTGGGACGGGATCGCCAGCGCATTGCACCACGGCCGGGCACAGGTGGACGGGCCTCCAGCGCTGCCCCACGGCCCGGGAGCGGGACGGCAGCGCTGCCCCTCTGGTTTCCTGCGGGCCCCGCCCGGCTGGCTGCCCGGCGCTGGGCCCCCTCCCCGTTCCCAGGAGCCCCGTGGAGTGAGGTGCAGCAGTGCTTTGTGCCAGTCTTGGCTCCAAGTACAAGTGAGAGTCGGTGGCTGTGAGCATCCTGCCTGTCCTTGCGCGTAACCCCTGTTTACACAGCAGGAAGTAGGCTGGGATCCACTGAGTCATTTTGGGGGGTTGGGAGCTCGCGCTGAATGCTCAGTCTTGCAAGTGGCAATATTTTCTAATTTGCCCTTGCAATGCAGGTAACTGGGAAGGTTGAAGAGGCGCTTCCCAGTATCCACAAACAGGATGACAATGACAGTAATTCTGGAAAAAAGTGCAGGTGC